ATCAGTCTACACATACCTGTTAATAAATGGCGTATCAAAGTGCTTTTCCACTTGTTTCACTTTATAATTAAAAGCCCAATGAAATAGTGCTTTTTGAAATGGACTACCTTCATTTACTTTCTCCATAACACCCTTGTAAACTCTGTCAAGAATTACCTGCAAGAACCAAAAAAACAAACATCACCATTGTAAGTGAATCATATTGAATTTCAATGTATGCAATTCATGTTTATAATACAAAGATTCAGAACTGTTGAATAAACTAGATGGTGCAATCCATATATAAATAAATATTGAGTACTTACAGGCACAGTGGTCATCAGAGTTGGTCTCAGGACAGCCACATCTCCTTTCGTACCACGTTTTATTTTACTAGAGTTATCAGTCAGAGTTAACGGTGTTGAGTAACCGATACAAGCACCATGACTTATGACAGCAAGCTCAGCAGCTAGTTCCAATACATGAGCCGCTGGTAAATACGCAATGAAAACATCACGTGAACTGTAATGAATTCAGACATAATATGTATTAGGACATGGGCCAGGAGTGACGGTGAGGGCCGGGAGTGACTGTGAGGGCCGGGAGTGACGGTGAGGGCCAGGAGCGACAGTGTGGGCCGAGAGCGACAGTGTGGGCCAGGAGCGACAGTGTGGGCCAGGAGGGACGCTTGTGACTGTAAGGCTTGGAGTATTGGTGAGGATGAGTGGTGGCAAGTACATCTACCTCATTTCCATATATTGCTTGCAAAGTTTACAAAACAACAAAACTGTTTAACATCAATAACATCAGCGTGAATTACTAACCTTAATCCATAGACTTTCTGAACCTGTCCAGATAATCCTGACATTAGATTAGAATGGGATATCATTACTCCTTTAGGGGTGCCAGTTGAACCACTAGTGTACATTATAACTGCAATATCTTGTGGCCTTGGTTTCTGCCGACCATCTGAAACATCAACATAGTACACACAGTTAATAATTAACTTTAGTACAGATACATGCTTAACTGTATATGATTTTTGAATGCATCCATGCACAAGAAATATAATATGACCCCAAACTAGTAGAATGTTAACAACAAAAAATACCTCATGAATTTTAAGATGAGAACCACAAAACAAACGTTCTATGGCAATTATGGTTTTAAAACTTGCATGTCAATCAATATTTCCATTATTATATAATAACAGTAAAATGTCACGACAAAATGCTGGCCTTACCGGTAATATGTTTGAATCATATGATCTAGTAAGGTTATTGATAAGAAGAATGAAGAGATGAATCAGATGCTGCCAAGACAGAGTACACCGTCAACATTTAAATACTCATTTAAGCACTATCTAAAGAACATACCAACTCAAAGTCATTTCCAAGCCCAGAAACAAGTTAGAAACAACCAGAAGCACTACGACTTTCACAGATACAGTACAATGTGCACACAAGGACCCATGTGTTCTCGCCAATGTCGAGTCAATGGCGTGCCAGTGGCAAGGTCATTAAAGGGTTCGCCCTCAAAAAAGCGAGCCCAAGGTCGAGCTAGGCACGGTCAGTTAAATACGGCGCACCTTATTTAACCCGGCGCGATCACGGGCGCGACCAGTATTTTATGGAACACCAAAACATAAAATATCACTTCAGCGTGGTTACACGAGTGTTGTTTGAAAAGTTGAAAAAATGTTTGTTTTGTTGATTTCATCATTAAGATTTGTCAGATTGAATTATTTCCCCGAGTGGACCTTAATCTTTACAGACCCGATCATTTTGTGAGATTTGCGTGGGTATGTGTGCGTGTATCTGAATGTCGATTTCATATCATTGGTAGTTGTAAAAATAAAACAAAAACACTCTGTGCCGAAACCTCAGTGACAACCCGATTTCCAAATATATGTTATGTTGTTTTATGATATGCAAGTAATTTTGCCATGCATGTAAATCAGTCGGTCCCTGGTCCACCATTATATTACCGATGTCTTGATTCACCCTGCACCGATCTGGAAAACGGGTCTCATTATGTGACAAAATAATCGTCACAAACTGTTTGTGTTCACTTCAATTCGAATGTATAAACCGTCAACATGACGTTCATAGAGGTAAAATGCTACGACAAAGTAAAATTGTTTTACGTGGAGTCATTGCGTGATGTATGTTTCCTTCACAGTTCAGTCAGAGGTCAATGACAATGTGGTAACTAAAACCTCCAAGCTAAAAACATGTGGTCAGCAACAGAAATTATACAAGTATGTTTTCGAATTAGATAATATAATTAACCGCGCTTTAACTAAGACATAACCGTCAAGTTCTCCCTGTTCTGTGTTCACGCGAACTTCGGTAAGATTTTTCTATTTAAAATGCCAATGCGGTAAGTGTCGCCAAGACCTAGACGCAACAAAAGAAAAATGAAAAGCTGTCTAGCTGGTTATCATGACGTCGACTTTTGAGGGCACCGCTAGCTAATAGTACGTATGGATTTACGTAACTCTTGTTACTTTGTACTAAACATCTGTTTTGTTGCATAGTGCGACTCAAGCAATTCCCGTTAATTATCGTGACGCCGACCGGTCACGGTGCTTCCCCTCGATTAACAACAAATATTTTGCAGTGTAACTATTATTGAAGACTGATCGCGACATTTTCCCGTGATTTTTTATGTTATTATTATTGGCTAGACAGGCTTTTAATTTGCCTTTTTAAATTTGTAAATGCGAGTGGAACGGATGTATAGGGGAGGAGAAGAGGCAATACACACGAATTATTATTTGACATGTCATTTTTAGTATTACATACTACCACGTTGCTGAATATGTTTTTGGTAAAATAAAGACAGTGTACACTCGAAAATTGACTGTGTCGGAAAATGTATACTATCATTACCAATTTACCAATAAATGGAATGGAGGGAAGTAGGACTGACTTCCATAATTGCAAGAACAGATATCTTGTAATGTGTAGTTTACTCTAGTGTAGCGACAGTTACGTAACATCATGCAAGCCTTCATTTTCTACTTGTACAAATATTGACTAACAGTGTTGGGTTACTAAGTTTTCATTGTAGTTTTCAGACTAGGTGCATATCGTCCCCGTTTTCTACCTACATTTGTACTCCACGACCAGTACAATTTCCAAGAATACATATACTAATTAAGCCAAGCAAAAATATAGGAAAGATGTTTACGAAAGATACCTGAAATCAAGAATGCACCACATCCGCATACAATACTACATTGCATATATTTAACATTAATTGTATACGTAATATACTGCTTACCATTTAATATAAATTTTATATAATTTCATTGCTTCAGTCAAAATGTACTAAAAAGTAAAACGTGTACATTGTGATAGTATTATAATTTGCTGTGACACTGAATGCTGTTCCACATTTGCGTTGGCCGATCAATACAAAATTATGACTATTTTCGTGTGTATACTTGAGTGTCTGGAAAATTGGTATGATGACAACCGTTTTCATGGGATTAAACCTCCGCAAATGAAAACAAAGACAAAAATGGGAGGAAGGTGATGATGTATACGATAGGACTATCAGAACATATGCCGAGCTGTCATTGGTCTTTTTTCACGGCGAAAATTATTGATAAAATGAGCTAGTCTAGTTTAACAATAACAATGTGTTCTGTATTTTATTTTGTAATTAATTTATGGCCAGTTTCATACACTGACGTGAGTGAAACAAACTACTGACAAGTGAGGCAATCTTATGCACGTTGTATGTCAATGTTATAAAATGTCATGCCTTTTCACACAGGTGTGATGATGTTACCGGGCGCGTCTATCGGCGCGCCACCAGGGCGCACCTAGCATTTACACATCACACTTTGAACCTTAGTGACTCTGATGTCCACTGAATATGTACTTTTGCACATACATTTGTATGTTGGTTATCAATGTTGTGTATTACACAGGGACATGTCCAATGTATGTCAGCGCGCATCTTGTTTTTATTCTTTTCAAACCCATTTGCGTGTTTTCTTATGCGGAGTTACTAACCATTGGTATAACATGCAATTCACTTGTAGATTCGGCAGATCGTGAAATGCAGGCTTCTGCTTGGACGAGGGACTGATCAGTGTCACTTAGAATTTAAACGCCAGTTGTGTCAGAGTTTCCGACGTGAATAATACATGTGCCTGTGTGAGACCATGGTGTAATTTTATTTCAATAAAAAAAATTGATTGAATGAAGTACAGAAATATCATCACGACCAGCGTGGAGCATGACAAATGTTTTATGTGTACTGAATTATTGCGAAAAACTTTTTTACCATAGTTGTTATTCTGGATGATGTGTTGGTTCTGATAGGGACCATTTGGTTTGTGAGCGCAAAGTATATGAGTTATTTAATACTGTATTGGTATCCAATGTTATCGAGAGGACATTCCAGTGTTTTAACAGCAGTGGCGAAAAGCATTCAAAAAATACTCGTGTTTTCTTGGCTGCCGAGAATAAATCAGTGTAGCCATTAATTCAGCAGCAGAAGACCTTTTTTTCTTCACTCTGGTTGTGGTCAACGTCTCGCCCAGTTCGTATGGCTGGTCGCCCACTATCTACACGCTGTCGACATAGTGGCGAGACCAAACAGCAAGAACCCCGTATATGCTTTAACTGTAACTGCAGCAGAGGGAACAACTACAAAGATTAAATTTACTTTCTATTATGGCCATGTCGACCTTGGTACTGAGACGCTCTAAGGCAGTGAATAAGTTATTACAAGAGACCATTTGTACCGGTCTTTTTGGCAGTCTCACTGCAACGTTTACGTTTATAGCAGGCGGCTGTATGTTAAGAAATGTCGCTCTGTGTAAACTTGACCCAATTTTTATAATTGACAGGAACACAGTTCTTCCCAGTTTTTAAAAATAAATAAAACATCTGCTGTTCATAGTATTATCACGACCGTTGGCATGTTTCAGTTTGGCAACTTTCAAACTGTCTGGAAATCACCCCAGACCGGGAATGGTTAACCAGGCACACATACAAACATCATATTTTTCACCCGTGTTTGCAAAAATAAAACAACTGTCCTCCAAAATAATAATATTTTCTATTTGAATCCGAAACTGTCTGGAAATCATTCCTAGGTCAATTTGATGAACATAAGTGTGTCTTTGGGGTCAAACGGGTGACCTATGTTAATCATCTCACAGTTGCGTGAATTATTTATTTTTGATTGGCCAAGAGACTTTAGGCAAAAAAAACGAAAAAAAAAAAACGAAAAAAAAAAAACGAATCTGACGACGTTTGTGCTTGACAAAATTATTGTAAAGTGAAAACAATTCACCCGTGCATACTAATAGGAGTTACCATTTTTTGACGGCCTGCTACGACAAACACGATTTTACACATGACGTTTTAAATAAATTAGAGGTGGGGATACATTGTTTGAAATCGTTGGTCCTTTTTTTGTTTATCTTATCCGCTCCTGTTTGTTTCACAAATTAGTCGTTTGCATATCAATATGTTCAATGTAAGGTAACGCTATCACTTTGGAAACAGTTCATTTTGGGGTTTTCATCTGCCGATTTTACTAAACTAGAGCTAGTCTTTTTTCAAATTTGTTTGCAATTTCTTCTTATTTTTCGATTACCCTACAAGAGTTTTTCAAATTATTAGCGTCTTAACAAAAATAGTGTATGTTTAGTGTCATCGGATTAACGCTAAACCACAGTCCCTCCCTTGTTGACGGACTGTGACTAACCACAGCTCTAACATAAATATCTCCATGGCAAACTATTATTATTTTCCAACATGTGACCTTTAGTTTGGATTCAGTACGTTACTTTTTAAAACGCGGCGCATGGATACAACTGCCGAGACGCATCCACTGAACTAATAGGAAGTGTGAATCTTTTTTAGTTACCGTGCGTGAATAAACAGCGTCCTAGCACAGTAATAATTGTGTAATTTATTTTTTCAGCAAAATAAATATTTTATATGTGAGCTTGCCAAGCTTTAACCTTGACGACTCTAAAATGTATATATACAGTAGAACGTCGATTATCCGAACTGTTAGGGGAACATGCTTTTTGTTCGGTTTT